CTTACCCCCTCCCCAGAGTCAGTGCTTACCCCCCTCCCCAGAGTCAGTGCTTACCCCCTCCCAGAATCAGTCCTCACCCCCATAGTGTTCAAAGGCCAAAGGAAAGCCACAAAAGTTCTACCTTTAAATCTTCACGCAGTTGTAACAAAGACTCGACAAAGACTCGGAAAAGACTTGACAACGTGAAACAGATCGTTCCTGCTGACTGTAATGAGAGCGAGCAGATGGCCGCAGTCCCCCCCTGCATAATTGTACCACGGGCGCTTTGTATTCCTGGTCTGAGGCTTGTTTTCTTGCCCCTCATTATGAGTATCGGCCCGGCACCGTTATTGATCACCCAGCTAATGAATAGCATTAGCATCGTATCGGCCCAGCAGTTTAGCGAGTTAGCGTGGGCGTCCTGAGGGCGGGCACTTGACAGCGGTGGGTGACGACGGCCCAGAAGTACAGAGGCAGAAGTTTATGAACTGCATGTTACTTGCAGTATGGTGCGGTGACTAAGCAGCTGCATACCTCAGGGATGTGGGTTTGATTCCCACCCCCAGGTCTGTGTGCTGCTTGTTTGCTCTCTCTGGGTTTCAGTCCTGAATATGCAATTAAGACAGTATAGACTAGCACCCCATTTAGTTTATTTCCTGGCATAGGTTCTGCCTGGATTACAGTGATTCATTTAGCATACACATTTATCCAGAGTGTATACAGTTGGTAAAGCAGAGTCAGCCAGTCTCCCCAGCTGCTGGGGTTAAGGACCAATGGTGAAATCACCTTACTGACTCTGGGATTTGAACCAGACACCTTCGGATCACATGCAGAGCATTCTAACCCGTGGAGCCACACGTCAGCCCGCTGACCAGTGATGTCATTCTCAGCTCTGTATAAACCATGTGGTGTTTGCAGTCATGACATCATGGTCTGTGTGGGTCTTCTCACCACCCCCCACCCCGCCCCCCTACTTCAGGGCCCAAGCAGGAGACGGTCTACGACTTCTGGCGCATGGTGTGGCAGGAGAACTGCTTCAGCATCGTCATGATCACCAAGCTGGTGGAGGTGGGCCGGGTAGGTGGTGTCCCCTAGAACCCTAACTCACCCTCCCGGGATTCCACTGCTGTGGGATTTGCAGCCTCGAACCCGCATCACTGCCACTTGGTGCTGAATTGCTGATTGTCTGCTGTCATGCGATGCATTCTCGTATGTAACTGGATGTCTGGACGGTCATTTCAGCCACAGGGGAACAAAATGACTCCCTTCGTCTTGCTCAGAGACATTTTTGTGACAGAAATACTTATATAAGGAATTAGACTGACAGGGTTCCTATGCTTTAAGTATGGAACTTGATTTTGGTGTTTTCCAAGTCTGAATAAGTATGGAAAGAAAGCATAGAAATATTGCACTATGGAACAACTTGCCTTACCATGTAGTCTGAAAAAAACCAATCTGAATATACTTATTAATGCTTTTGATAAAAATCACAGATGTGAGTTGGTTGTCAGCACCGGAATGTGCACTTCAGTACACTGAAGAGCAACGTTCCCATGCAGAGAAGAGGGCAGTGTATCTGTGGGGTTTACACTTGATTAATCCCCAGCAAGAAATATCAGTGTGGGCTACTTTGCAATTTACCACAATGGGGAAATGCACATTTTCACCTGCTTGGCTTGTCACTCCCCAATATTGTAACCGGTTGGCTCAACATGGGTGAAAAAATGTTTATAAGGTTCAATGAGCGTTAACTTTCTGCTGTAATCGTCTGACTTTGGGGTGGGAGAAGATGTGCAAACTTTTAATTAGCCATTTTGCAGGAAATTGGTTTGAAGCCGTCGCTTTTGCAGGCCCTGTTTAGGTCGGGTAAACACTGGCGGGCTGTCAGATAAGTTTCAGCCTGGCAGAGACAGACAGAGGAGCGTTTATTGTAAGATGCACCGGGGATTGAACCACGCTTCCTGGAATGCCTGCTAGCGTTTTATTAAATGTGCCCATTGCTTTCAGCAACTGCCATAAATGTTTAAATAGGAAAACAGCGCTCAGCTGTGGAAGGCAGCAGAAAAGAGTCATTTTAGTCCAGGTGTTGAAAACGCTAGTTTCAGATTCCCTGGGTGCCTTTTGCAGCGATGAGAACTGCCTGTTCTTTTAGCAAGCAGTTCACACCTGGAACAGCAGGTGAGGTGTGTTCCTGCCCAGATAATTGCATCAATTAAATAATCAATTATGAGATCAGGTCCTGTGCAAGTCATGCTGCTCCATCGCTGGCACCGGGTGACACTCGTTGTAATTGCAAATGTAATTGTGAGTGTAATTGTTGATATGTGGTATGTGTCATTGTGGCAGGTGAAATGCTGTAAGTACTGGCCGGATGACAGCGAAATGTATGGCGACATCAAGATCACGCTGCTGAAGACGGAGACGCTGGCGGAGTACACCGTCCGCACCTTCGCCCTGGAGCGGGTGAGCTGACACCCAGACGCACCTTCTGACAGCGTGCTAGCAGGCCCTGGTTCTCTCTCTAGAACAGTGTTTCTCGACCCAGTCCTCAGCGAACTCCAGCCAGTCCACGTTTTTGCTCCCTCCCAGCTCCCAGCCAATCAGGAACACTGAATAGCTGGTACAGGTGCACTGGGAGCTGAGAGGAAGCAAAAACGTGGACTGGCTGGGGTTCGCTGAGGACTGGGTTGAGAAACACTGCTCTAGAACGTACCTGAGATGTTTAGGTAGTGTTTTCTGGGAGGCTTCCTGGCCACCTGTCACCCATTCGCTAATCTTTCAGGCCGTTTTGCACACATCACCACCTGGAATGTTCATGAACAGCAAGTGTCTTTGTGATGACGGGAGATCAGCGTTGGGGAAGTTACTCACAAAAGTCATCTATTAGAGACAGAGGTGGAAAATTCAGGTCCAGGGAGTACAAATCCAGACCAAGATTTTAACCAACCAGTTGAATATAAAGAGTCATAGTTACAGAGTAGGCTACTCAACTGGTTAGTTGAACCAAAACCTTGGTCTGGATTTGTACTTTCTGAAGTTGAACCTTCTACCTCTGTCTGTAATGGATTACCGATGTGGACAATTCCCCTCCATTCCGCAACCCCTGACATTTTTGTGCCACAAAGGCATGTCACTCGCTGCTCCAGCAGCCTTCCACAGGTGTCAGTGTGGTCATGTTCATTAAGATCCCTCTTGAATCCCCAGTCCCCCCCCACCCTTGGCTGCAGTAGCCCCTGCCCCCTCCCCATAGTCCCCCCCTGTTCATTCTGGTGCTGAATGAGGACTCGCATTCTAAGAAGAGCTCTTAGGCTCAATTGAAGCTAAAGACCCAAATTGTGGCTAAACCGTTATGTGTTATACTTTCCCAGAGAGCAGTGAAGGGAACTGGTTTATCCTAACAGGACTGACTCCGGACTGATAATGAGTGAAGAGAGTAGGACAAATTGCAGATTTATGGTGGTTATTGCGACTATAGCAGTATTGAATATGGTCACACAGGAAATGATTGACTCCAGATTGTAATGGATGTGGTGTATATGACTGAACTCACTCCAGACTGAAAATGAATGAAGAGAGTAGGGCAAACTACAGATTCATAATGGATATTATGACTATAGCAGTATTGACTGCATATAATGAATATGGTCAACGGGAAGTAATTGACTCCAAATTGATAATGCATGTGGTATATTTAGTAGGACTGACTCCAGATTCCATCTATCCATCCATTTTCTGAAACCACTTGTCCTATTCAGGGTTGATGGAGGTTGAGAGCCTATCCTGGGGGCTACGGGCGCAAGGCAGGGAACAACCTATCACAGGGCACGTGCACTCACTATTTACACACACATTCACACCTATGGGCAATTTGGTAACTCCAATTAACCTCAGCATGTTTTTGGACTGTGGGGGGAAAACTGGAGGAAACCCCATGATGAGACAAGGACAACATGCCAACTGCACACATATGGAACCCGGGTCATATATATATATATATACTGTATATATATACACACACATATATATATATAACAGGACTGTCCAGATAATGGGTGTAGTATATATGACAGAGATAACTCCAGACTGGTGATGAATAAAGTGAACAGAAAGACCTGACTCCAGCTTGCCTTTGCAGAGGGGTTACTCCGCGAAGCACGAGGTTCGCCAATTCCACTTCACGTCGTGGCCGGAACACGGCGTTCCCTACCACGCCACCGGCCTGCTCGCATTCATCCGCCGCGTCAAGAGCTCCACACCACCTGACGCTGGGCCCATCGTGGTGCACTGCAGGTATGCCCCTCCCACTCCAGCATCACTTCCTACTGCCAAAGGCTGTCCATACATCACTTCCTGCCTGTTAGAGCCCAACGGACATCTGCTTTCCTTAATCCCACTTCACCGGGCGAGGACTTGACCAAAGCAAGGGGGAGCAAATTCTTGCACAAATTGCACATAAAGTCTGTTCTGTATTAATGTAACATATGTATAGCTTTCTGGGTAAATCATATGGGCCGAATGCATGACTCACAGTCACAGCCCCCAATCAAGAATAAAAATATGTGATTGGCACTCAAAGCAGCTGATGAAGAACAAAAGGATACAAACATCCTCATTATTCTCAGTGGGAGCTGTTACTTTAATGATCTTTTATTTTATTTTATCTGATGTTTGTTCAGATGTTTTTCTCCCACGCATGTTTAGAATTTACACGTTAATACAACTTTTAACATTTTTATTATTTGTAAAGACACAATGAGAATGGGGACATTTGTGATCTGAGCTAGAAAACTATTTAAGAACTAATGTTTGTTTAACACCATGTTATTTGCTGCCACTGGATGGCGCTGTGCTGTCACCTGTCTTCCAGCATGGGGGCAGGTCGCACAGGCTGTTACATTGTCCTGGATGTGATGCTGGACATGGCGGAGTGCGAGGGCGTGGTGGACATCTACAACTGCGTCAAGACGCTCTGCTCCCGGCGCATCAACATGATCCAGACAGAGGTGAGGCAGGGCGAGGCAAGATGAGGCAGGGCAAGGTGGCATGAGGCGATGTAAGGTGGGGGGAAGTGGCTCGGACCCCCTGATGAGGGGCGCTGGGGTTCGTACCTCCTCTAGGGCAAGCTATCAGGTCGACCTCTTCCAGAGCGAGCCCCTGGTAGCCTCTTGTGCTGAGCTTCAGACTGGCTAGCCGTGACCTCCTTCAGCTCCTTCAGCCACTGGTCACTCCCTCATTCTACGACCTGCTTGCTTTTTATGCAGATTCGCCAAGATGATACGGGAAGCAAATCCAGCTCCATGTGGAGACATGTTGCAGTTTGGCCCTAACTTATACAGCGTCCTGCCGTTTACATATTTATACCTCATTATGCAAATCCGTCGTTTGTTTATCCATGCATTATGCTAGGAATTACTTACGGGAAATAACTTTAATTAAATCTATATAGTGTGTGTTTATTTATATACAATGGCTTTGCTGAGTGCGCTCTGGACGTGTGTACAGATAATGAGCTGGTGTTTAATTCCGATCACGGCAGAGTAAGGAAATATGTTGGCCACTGCCCCCCATCCGCTCCTCAGCGTCTGGCCGGCGTCTCCCTCTATGCACTGGCGTATTCATCTTCAAATGACTTTAATGGATTACCACTCTTAGTCGTATGCTGACACAACAAGCAGTTTAACTTAAAAGGTACACATAGGCAAAATGGCCGAAAATGTAAAATTAATACAAAACTGTATGGATGCAAAACAACTGTCAGAATAATTGTTGCGTATTAATGGGGGTTAACGAGGGCACATGTGCATGCACACACTCACACACACTCACACACACACACTCACACACACACACTCACACACATACGCACACGGACATGCAAAATATGGATAATATATACGGTGTTTACATTTTTTTGCGTTGGAGTTTTAATTAGTATCTGAGAAAGTAGCCTGAGTTTTTTCCGATTTCCCTCCATGTTTACTTCCTAATGAATAAGGAATGTGTTATTCATTTGTACTGGGTGCCACACCCCTAATGTGCTGGGCTACGCTTTACACTGGCTCTGCGTCCGTGTTGCTGCTCCCAGCGTCTCCCCACGGGGCCCCCATGCCGTCCGTGACGGCGCGTCTCCACAGGCCACATCGCTAACGCAGCGAACTGCGCTGCTGAATCTTCTGTTTTTCCGATTCACCTTTGTGATGAAGGGGTTTGCTTTGTTTTTTTATCTTTCACGATAATTGGGTTTTGGCTCGATTCTCTCCCCGCCCCTCGTCTCGTAGGAGCAGTACATCTTCATCCACGACGCCATCCTGGAGGCGTGCCTCTGTGGCGAGACGGTTATCCCTGTCAGCGACTTCGCACTTACCTACAAGGAGATGCTGAGAGTGGACTCCCAGAGCAACTCCTCCCAACTCCGCGAGGAATTCCAGGTGGGAGCAGCGGAGCTGGTCCATGCAGGGGCCCCTTGTGTGTGTGGGGGCCCCTTGTGTGTGTGTGAGGGCCCCTGTGTGTGGAAGGGGGGGCCTGTGTGTGGAGGGGGGGGCCTATGTGTGTGGCAGCCCGGGGGGCCTGTGTGTGGAGGGGGGGGCCTATGTGTGTGGCAGCCCCTTTTGTGTG